CCCCAAAGCCCCAGTAGATAGTTGTATGTCATAGTTGCACATCCTTCTAGTTGCTGTATGTGGGACGCGGCCTCAGCATGGCCGGAGAAGCGGTGCGTTGATGCGCGCCCAGGATCCGAACCTGGGCCGCCAACAGCGGAGCGCGCGCACTTAACCGCTAAGCCACGGGGCCGGCCCTCCAGTTAAATGATTCAATAAAAAACACTGCATAATTGTTCACACTTCTTTCTGTTCTATTCCATCTGCCACCACCTTAATTCAATTCCTATCACCTAGTGTCCACCCCCTCCAGTCCACTCTAAGAATCCCATGCGATTAACCTTTCTAAAGCACAGTTCTGATCATGTCAGTTCCATGATCAAAATCTTTAATGGTTTACCACTGCCTACAGAATAAAGCCTGGGCTTTGTCTGATATTCAAGGCTTTCTATGGTCTGGCCTACTTTTCTAGCCTTTTCTCTGTGCTTCAACATCCCTGGCTATGAAGTAGAGATGATACCATGTAGGGTTGTTATGAAGATTAAATGAATTGAAAGCACTTAGAACAGTGCTTGGTACACAGAAAGCATTATATATGTATTTACTGCAGTTGCTGTTATGTTTCTTATTATTATTATAATTCTCCAGTTAAGCTGTATTAATCATCTATGCCTGATGAAGTTACTTCTGAACCATTACAGTCACCATTTGTTTCAACTCCCTTTGCTCACTCTGCTTTAGTCACACTGGCCTCTTTGCTGTTCCTAGACTATACTAAGACTGCTCCCACCTACAGCCTTTCCACTAACTATTCCCACTGTCTGGGAGGCTCTTTCCCCAATATATCTACACAGACAATTCCTCATCTCCTTCAGGTATTTGCTCAAATGTCACATTCTTATTAAGGCCTACCCTGGCTACCCAATTGAAAATTGCAACCTACCTCATCATTCCATAGCACTTAATACCTTATAATATACTTTAGAATTGACTTGGTTATCAAGTTTATTGTTTATTGACTCTCTCTCCCACTAGAACATAAGGGCAGAGATTTTTGTTTGTTTTTCTTCAGGCATCTAGAACTTGGCACTTAAAAGGTACTCAATAAATATTTGTTGAAGAATGGAGGACTTGTGTCCTGCATAAATGAATGAATAAATGACACCTGTCTTGAGCACTGGGTCTGTATTTCCAACTGTCTGCAAAACTCCTTAAAATCAGGTCCTCCTAACAATCAACATGTCTAAAACTGAATGTCCATCATCTTCCCTCCTAAAACTTGCTTCTCCTCCTCCTCCTTCTATATTCCCTAAATCAGTAAAGGCATCACAATGCCTCCAGGCCAGAAACTGCAGTCATCTTTAGCTCCTCACTATTCCTTAGATCCTACTCCTCCTCTTCCCTCACTATCTAGTCAATCCTCAGGGTTGTTTGTACCCCTAAAACATCTCTCAAATCTATTCTTTCTTGTCCATTTTTATTGTCACTGCCCCAATTCAGGTCCTCATAATCTTCACCTGGTCTTTGGTCTTTTGGGAGGTGGCTCTCTAGTCTCTTTACTCCTAATCTGTCCTTTCTCTCATTTGTTCTTTACACTACAACCAGAGTTAACTTTTAAAGGAAAAAGCAAGAGATAGAGAGAAAGAAAGAGAGAGAAAATGGAGATCAGGTCCTTTGAGTCCCCTTCTAAATTATATCTTAGGGCCGGCCCCGTGGCTTAGCGGTTAAGTGCACACGCTCCACTACTGGCGGCCCGGGTTCGGATCCCGGGCGTGCACCGACGCACCGCTTCTCCGGCCATGCTGAGGCCGCGTCCCACACACAGCAACTAGAAGGATGTGCAACTATGACATACAACTATCTACTGGGGCTTTGGGGAAAAAAAGGAGGAGGACTGGCAATAGATGTTAGCATCTATTGCCTTGGTCTTCCTCAGCAAAAAGAGGAGGATTAGCATGGGATGTTAGCTCAGGGCTGATCTTCCTCACAAAAAAATAAAATAAAAAATAAATTATATCTTAAATCCATCCACTTCTCACTCTACTGCTACCCCCGTAGTCTAAGTCACCATCATCTCTCACCTAAACTATGGCAATATTCTTAACTGACTTTACCACTTCTTCTCTGGCCACCTTCCAATCCATTCCTTATCCTTCAACAAGTACACTACTAAAAACTCAAATCCAATCATGTCACTCCCCTGATTAAAATCCTTCACCAGCTTCCCACTAAACACAGAATGAAATTTTAAACTCCTTACCCTGGCCTACAAAGGCCCATGTATTCTGCTTCCTGCCTATCTAACCAGCTTCCTACCTTTCTTGCATCGCTCTTCCTACCTCACTCACTATTAGTTTCTCCAGTGTGCCAAACTCTTTTTCACCTTAGGGTCCTTATATAAGCTATTTCTTCTACATAAGCACTCTCTTCTACATCCCTTTGTCTTGCTACTCCTATGTATTCTTCCAGGTTCACCTCAAATGTCAGTTCCTCAGAAAGGCCTTTTTTTGCACTTCATATCTAAATTAGGTTTCTCTCTTACAATTCCATAGCACCCTCAATGTTTCTTTCACAGCATGAGTGTATGTGCACAGGGAAGAGAGAGCACAAGCACTAATTTGTAACTTAATTGTTAAGAGCCAGACTGAAACCAGATTGCCTAGGTTCAAATCCTACTTAACTTCTCTGAACGTCAGCTTTTTAAATCATAATACTGGGATAATAAAATCTATACCGCAGAACCGTTGTGAGAATAAAATAATATATCTCAAGTGCCTCACACGTATTGAACACACACAGGTGTTCAACACATGTTACAAGAGGAAGAGGAAGCATCTGAGCTGAATCTTGAAGGATGAGGAGAATAATTGAGGAAAGGACACTGCAGATTCAGGGAACAACTTAACATGATAGGGGAAGGGTGACAAGTTGGGCCTGGCTGGAGCACAGGACATACGGGAAAAGGTAATAGGAGATGAAACTGAAAATTCAAGTGAAGGGCAAAGTCTTACTGAATTAGCAAACCGAAATTTAAACCCTGATCTTCCATTTCCAAACTAATGCTCTTCTCACAGGTAGCTAAGCAAATGTCAAACTGTCACACCTTGCTAAGAGCTGACAATCTAAAAAATTACCTCCATATGCTAAGAAATTGCCCCTTCCCCCACAGGCTTATCTGTTTGTGTCATTATATATTTCCATCATCAAAAAGCATCTGTTTAAGGGGCCAGCCCAGTGGTGTAGCGGTTAAGTGCATGGGCTCCACTGCGGCGGCCCGGGGTTCGCCGGTTCGGATCCCCAGCGCACACCGACGCACTGCTTGTCAAGCCATGCAGTGGCAGCGTCCCATATAAAGCAGAGGAAGATGGGCATGGATGTTAGCCCAGGGCTAGTCTTCCTCAGCAAAAAGAGGAGGATAGGCAGATGTTAGTTCAGGGCTGATCTTCCTCACACACACACAAAAAAAGCATCTGTTTAATTATGACTCGAAACAAAGAATCCTACTGGCATGATTCCAAGCCTTAAGGACCTTAAAATCTACAATATTTACACTTATGTATATATACAGATAAAAGTAAACAAAAGCAGCAAAATGAAAACATTAAATTAATTCACTCTATATAGAATTACCCATACAAATTAGGGAAGGAAAGAAACAAAACCATGGATGATCCCAAATATGAAAATCCAGAAGTCATTTATATACAAAGAAGAAGTCTTACAGATCTAGAATTATGCTTTTAGTGGACTAATACAAAATTTCACTTGCATCACCTCAGCATAAATTGACAGTGGAGAAAGCTACCCCAAAAATTCAAGGTGAAAAGAGGATTTCACATTTTAAAATTATGGTAGGTCATACACAAAGTAGATTATTAGACGTAACAAACGTAAGGCTTACCATACACAAAGAGTCTTTCACCTTAAATCTTCCAAATCATCCTAACAATAAATATCACATTTTACTTTCTCTCTTCTCATTCTCCCCCAGAGACTCCTTACCTTCCAGGAGATCTCGGGCCAGTCCTGGCTCTGCCCCTGTGGAACGGACAAAATCCGACAGGACAGCATCCATGTCCAGGGTCATGTGATCATTAAGTACTTTCAGGCAGCTGATGTAGAGAGGACATAGATCAAAAGTCAGGCCTCCACCTGAGGAGAAAATAAACACATAAGGCTCAAATTGCACTGGAACGGGATAATCATAGCCCAATTTTAGCAGCTTCCTAACCAGATGGGGACACTAGCTCACTCATTTCAGTTGAATTTATTACGACGAGTAACATCTAGTTTCCTAATTCCTCATTAATTTCTTCACTACTACATTAACCATAAAACCATAATACCACTCGGAATAATGCTTTTCCTCTACCTCTCCAGAGTATTACATTTCTACCCATCAGTTTGCTTATCCAAACTAATGGAAGGAAGCAGCAGACTACCACTCTGAAGAAATCCCCACCTGAATCATTCTCTAACATAGCACCTTGTTTATTTCCTTCCTGGCACTTCATATACCCTGAAATCATTTTAATTAGGGGCTGTCTAGCCGCCTCCTCTAATATGTAGGTTTCTTGAAAGTGAGGAGCTTGTGGTCTTGTTCTCTAATGTATCCCCAGCATGTATCACTTGGCACTTGACACGGTGCCTGGCACACAGTCCCGTAGTAAATATTTTCTGAATGAATGAATGAATACTATGCACTTAATAACAGTTGATTAGTATTCTGATGCTGAGGAAATGGGAGGAGCAAACTGATAGTCAAAACTACTCTCAAGGGCTGGCCCCGTGGCTTAGTGGTTAAGTGCTCGCGCTCCGCTACTGGCAGCCCAGGTTCAGATCCCGGGCGCGCACCGACGCACCGCTTCTCCGGCCATGCTGAGGCCGCGTCCCACATACAGCAACTA